AAAAAGGGTTCTTGAGGGTGAGCCCCAGGGCAGCAAGTGGCCCGAGACCCCCAGCCCTGCCCTGGGGAGCCCATGGCACAGGCAGGGTCAGCAGGGAGAGCCCCAGTGCCGCCTGCCCGAGCCAGGCTCTGTGCCAGAGCACTGAAGCCCATCCCAAGGGCCAGGAAGAGCTGCCAGCAGCCCAAGCGCTGCCTGGGCAGTGAGGGCAGTTCACACACCCTGACATCCCTCACAGGGAATCCAGCCTTTCATGGATAGTCATTCAGCTTGAGCCGGGACTCTTCTCCCAGTTCAGAGACTGGGAGTTTGAGGTTTTTTGGAGTTTTTTTGTTGGGCGTTTTTTTGGGGTTTTTTTCCCCTGCTAAGCAGAATACCCCATTCTCCTGATGTTTGGAGTCAGAATCTTACAGGGAAAGTAAAAGCACTCAAGAAACCTGAGTTCTGGAATTTGAAGTTCTTCTACAATATTATGAGAACATCTGTATAAAAGACAGGTCAAGAAATTCAGGTCAAATCAAAAGGATGCAAGTTTCAATGTATCATTCATGATCATTGGCTTTCTGAAGGCAATTCTGCCTGTGCAGAATGTGCCTTTTTAGTAGGCACAGAAGAGGACACACCTTCTCCATTTGTAGAACAAGTCCCAGCTATCCATTTTGCCTTCCCAGCAATTTTAAAAGAGTCCATCAAACCACTTTTTTCCTCTGATAGTTAAAATTGCAGCCCAGGATAGTTTGGGACAGTACAGATCGTGCTGCCTGCTGAGCCTCAGCAGGCAATGGTGGGTTTCTGTCTGGAGTTTAATGGCCTCAGTCCTCCTTTGGAGTCTCTGGTGCCAATGGTTCAGAGATCAGCCCACACCGGGGCTAATTTTCCATCCTGCTGCTGGGCAGCACTGCTGAGGCAGCCAGGGATGGAAGGAGCTCTAGGAATTCCCTTCTCAAGTCCAGCTGAACCTCAGGAAGTTTTTTGCAGCATCTATATCACCTGGCAAGGTCTCCAACTTTTCCTGGCTTCAGCTCAGTTTCTGCTCTGCAGGAGATGTTTGGCAAGCATTGAATTGGAGCAGCCTGAGCTGTTGGATCCTCCTGTCACTTTTTGTCATCATGTGCTATGTCAGACACCTGCCATTGATGGGTCACTATCTGAGTGTTCAGAAACAGGAGAGGGATATAAGTGAACATTTTTAAGCTGGATGGAAACAGCAGCTTGAATTTATTCAACATTTTGGCACGTGCCAGGGCAGCTCTGACAGCATCCTCTGCCTTTTAGTGATGCTGGGTAAGCACATGAATCTTCAGTCTCTTACTCATTTTTCACCTGCAGACACCTAAGTGTGTTGCTTCCTGCATCAGCTCTTGTCCCTGTAAAACCAACAGCCTGTCTCTGAGTCTTTTGCTTTGTAGTAAATGATATTATTTATTTCATAGTTTAGCTCACGTGCATTTCCCTCTTTCTCCCCTCCCTGTTTTGGAGAGCTGAGTGATCTAATAACTTGAAGGTGCACCAGGGGTGTATTCCTCTACTCAAGAATACAGTACAGGA